CACGGGCTATAACCAAATTATCTGTGCCAGAAAGGACCAGAAACTTCTAGAGAGCATTCTCATTTGTTGTCTCTCTTGTGACATTTTAAAGCCACTGTGAAAACGCAGCCTTCCAAGAAACCCAGAGAGGACATTAAACATTCCAAGAGAAGCAAACTAGGCCTTCAAGAGTCTGAAGAACATCTCAGGTGTACAGAAGCCAAGATATAGAAAGGTGACTTTCTGTTCAGTATACCCCACAGTACTGCAGTGCAGTGGTCTCTTTTACAAAACCTAGGCAATGAGAGAAAATTGTGTTTCAGTGACGACAGACAAAAGCTCTCTTGCATCGGGTAGAAAAAGCAAGAACGAGGAAAAGTCATCAAAACGGTAGTAGGAAGTATCTAAAAGTAGAAAGGACAAAGCTGGCCTGTACCACACAAGCGCTGTGCTTTCCTGGGCCTAGTACAAGGCTTCCCCAGCCAGGAGAAAAGCAGGTGCTCAGGGGCACCCCTTGGAGCATTCCCTTAAGTGTCCTCAGCCAGCAGAGTCCTGCAGGGGAATGCATGAGGCGCCAGTCCTTGGTGTGCTCCACCAACGCAGAAGAGCGCCGCCCTCTAGCGACCAAAATGGGAGACGCATTTCAAATTGAGCTTCTCAGGAGCTTCGTGGAGGCATCAGCTGTGATACTACCAAGAAAATGGTAGTAGAGCCTTTGCAAATAACTTGTATGACTAGGAAAGCCTTAAGACCCTCTTTTCATGAACTCTCGAACTGTTTGTGATAACCTCCTAGGACGAGGGAGATAGGTACAAACAATGTGTGAATTTTAAAAGGGGGATGTGAGATAAACTAAAACATCCGACGGAGAGAGATGATTGATGATTAAAAACAGCTTTTGAGGCCAGACAGGTTAAGTGATTTCGTCCATTATTCCAGTTGATTCTGTCCTAAACACCTTGCCTTCTCTCTCATATGCCGACATAATAGCTTGTTACCTCAACTGCTTTTTTACAAATAGAAGAAAGAGACAGAGACAGAGACAGAGACAGAGACAGAGACAGAGACAGATCCTGCCTATGACCATCTACAGATCCAGGAAATGAGGGAGGGAGCAGGCTGGCTGCTGTCCCAGCCGCTGCCTCCCTTCAGCATCCAGGTTCCTCCCGGTGGACAAGATGAGCAAGACCCAAGACAAGGCATTCCCTCCACACCAAATTCCTGACACACTGACATCTCACCTTCCCGACACCCCCTTACTCATCAAACACCCCCAAAACACCCTGTGCAGCACATTGGTGACAGCAAGTCCCGAACCTGGAAGTCCGCCCAGGTAGCCCAGATTGATCCTTCCTGAGGTCCCTGGAGAACACCCTTCCCAGGACCTGGTTTTTTGGGGTTTTTTTGAGGTTCCTTTTTGTTTGAGTTAGGGGGCTGTTTTATTTTGTGTCCCTCGGGTATTGCTTCTCTGGCGACAGATCTCACTGATCTAAAGGAGAAAGATTTAAGATCCACAGGAAGTTCCAATTATTGATTTCTGTAACCACTAATTGAATGCCTACTGTG